TGAAAATTTTCTTTTGCTTATCTTATTGATAGAAGGCAAGTGTTACAGAATATTCCTTGAGGGGCTGTTATGGTAGTGTCCCTATCTCTAAACAAAGAAGGCCAGGTTCAAGTCCCATCTGCTCTAGAGGTGTGTAATGTCATAGAGTCATAGAGATGTACAGCACGGAAACAGACCCATTGGTCCACCTCATCCATGCTGACAGATATCCCAAATTAATCTAGTCCCATTTGCCAGCATTTGGCCCTCTAAACCCTTCCTATTCATATACCCATCCAGATGCTTTTTAATGTTGTAATTGTACCAGCCTCCACCATTTCCTCTGGCAGTTCATTCCATACACGCACCACCCTCAGCATGAAAAAGTTGCCCCTTAGGTTCCTTTTAAATCTTTCCCCTCTCACTTTAAACCCATGCCCTCTAGTTTTGGACTCCCCTACCCTGGGGAAAATTTTTTGGCTATTCAGCCTATCCATGCCCCCATGATGTTATAAATGTCTTTTTTTAAGGTCATTTCTGAACAGGTTGATGAGAAACTATTTAGACACTGTCGTGATCACGAGATGTCCCAAAAGCTTTACGGCCAATGATGTGTTTTTGAAATGGCACTGCCACAGCACACTAAATGTGATACGTCATTGTCTGCACAGCAAGCTCCCACAAACAGATGATGACCAGATAATTTGTTTGTCTGAGGAATAAATGTTGAACTAGACACTGGAGAGAATGCCACTGCTTTTCTTCAAAATAGCACCATGGGATCTTTTACATTCATCTGAGAGAGGAGATGGGCTTTTTCTAAGGAGACAGAGTCAATGCTTGTTTTGAAATTGCCTACTACCTCTTAGATAACCCAGAGCCAATAAAACAGAGCAGCGATCTACTGTATCATGTTCCAGTACAGAATTCACCTCTCGCTCTCTTTACATGCAGCTTGCTCCAAAATTATCACACAGTGTTCAGGAGACAGGGAATCCATCAAAATCAGCCTCATCATTGATCTAGGTGACAACATCTACGTATAGACAACGGCAGTATAATGGGACTCATGCGAATCACGGTGATCTAACTGATCAGTGACAGTGACATCAGTAAGAGACAAGACAGAGTCTAGAATGAGCATGTGAAAAGAGAGAGAGAGAAAGAGAGACAGAGATATCTTAGCCACTACACTAGAGAGCTGTGTTTAAGAACCTAGTATGTGTAGAAGCGCTTAAAGCAACGATACAGTACATAAAGAGTTGAAGAGTCTGATATGCAGATAAGGAGCAAGTAATCTCACAGACCATGTTTCTGCTGACACCCACAACCTGAGATTATTTAGACTGGTATCTTAATGTGCAGATAGCAGTATCAGTACAAGAACAAGATAAAGCAGTGGGATTTTTGAAAACAATTATTACCCCATCCACTACCTCCTTAGAGTTTTCAGCATTAGATGAGCTGCATTTTTCTCTTTTTAAAATGTTCTCCTCATGGCCCTGCCAAAAACTCAGTTCCTGAGCCTTCCCTTAATCTCTCTGCGGTCTGAGGTTCCATTAGACTGTTCAGTTCCTATTTGACCCTGAGCTGAACTCTTGGCCTCATGCCCTCTCCATTAAAAGGCTGCATATGCCCACTTTCAATATGTGCCATGTGTTTATTCTCTGCACAGATGCTGCCTAACCTGTTGAATTAGTTCCAGCATTTTTGCTTTATTTTGGTGAAAATTAATGAGTGCTGCACATGGAGTATCTGAGTGAGGCAACACTGCATCCCTTCAACAAAAGTGCATGAAAATAGATGTGTAAGTTTGGAAAGTAATGCAGGAAAAGACAAAGTTAAAAGTCTTCCACTATCCTAATACCTCTCTGTTGTAACTCCAAGGGAAAGCCAACTCTATTTACAAGTTTGCTGATGACATAGCTGTAGATGGGCTAGGTCTTAAACAATGATGAGACAGAATACAGGAAATAGATAGAGTGCATAACGGCATGGTGTAAAGACAACAATTTCTCCCTCAATGTCAGCCAAATGAAGGAGCTGGTCATTGACTTCAGGAAGCGGAGTGGAGGACATGCTGCTGTCTGTATCAACGGTGCTGAGGTAGAGTTTGTCGACAGCTTCAAGTTCCTAGGAGTAAATATCACCAATAATCTGTCCTGGTCCATCCACGTTGACGCTATGGTTAAGAAAGCACAGCGATGCCTCTACTTCCTCAGAAGGCTAAGGAAATTCAGCATGTCCATAATGATTCTGATTGATTTTTATAGATACACCATAGAAAACATTCTATTTGGATGAACAATGACTTGGTATGGCAACTGCTCTGCCCAAGACTGCAAGAAATTACAGAGTTGTGAATGCAGCCCAGTCCATCACACAAACCAGCCTTCCATCCATCAACTTCACCTATACTTCCTGCTGCCTTGGAAAAGCCTCCAACAAATCAAAGACCCCTCCCACCCCAGTTATACTCTTATCCACCCTCTTCCATTGGGCAGAAGATACAAAAGTTTGAAAACATGGACAAGCTGATTCAAGTACAGCTTCTTCCCTGCTGTTGCCAGACGTTTGAACAGACCTCTCATATATTAGAGTTGATCTTTCTCTACACCTTCTCTGTAGCTGTGATACTATATTCTGCATTCTGGTCTATTACCCTGATGTACTTATGCAAGGTATGATTTGTCTGGTTTGCACGCAACGCAATACTTTTCGCTGCATCTTGGTACATGTCACAATAATAAATCAAATCAAATCAAACCAGATATACCTGGCTCTGAATTGTACAGTGGTCTTCACAAACATATTAGATCAAACCATTGCCACACAGTGGTCAATGTTTAGCTATCCTAAACATAGAAAATAGGAGCAGGAGTAGGCCATTCAGCCCTTCAAGCCTGTTCTGACATTCATTACGATTATGGGGGCTGATCATCCAAATGTATAGTCTGTTCCCTCTTCTCCCATATCCTTTGATCTCTTTAGCACAAGGATTACATTCAACTCCTTCTTGAATATGTTTTGACTTTGACTGCTTTCTGTGGTAGCAAATTTCACAGGCTCACCATTCTTCTCATTTCAGTCCTAAATGGTTTACCCTGTATCCTTTGAATGTGACCCCTAGTTCTGGACTCCCACCATCGGGAACACCCTTCCTGCATCTACCCTGTCTAGTCTTTTAGAATTTTATTGGTTTCTATGAGATCCCCCTCATTTTTCTGAACTCCAGCGAATATAATCCTAATGAATTCAACCTCTCCTTAGCCCCGCCATTCCTGGAAAAAGTCTGGCAACGTTCGCTGAACTCCCTCCAAAGCCAGAACATCCTTCCTCAGGTAAAGAGACCAATCTGCAGTTAATATTCAGGTTTGTTCTCTAGTATAGTATATATGGTAGCAAGACATCACTGATCTGAAGGCTAACATACCACTTGCCTTCTTTACCACCTGCTGTACCTGCATGCTCACCTTCCTCTCATGGTTTCAGCTCTCCTCATTTCTGTAACCTCCTGCAACTAGACACTCCAATCCCTTGTTTCCAGTGTTTTACTGCTTTACTGCTCTTTATTCCACTCTTTATAGCCATGCCTTCATCTACCTAAGACTTAAGGTCAAGAATTCATCCTTGAAACCCCTTTGCCTTACCTGGTCCCTCTCTATCTTAAAACCTAAAAACTCATATCTCTTTAACCAAGCTTTTGGAAACCCTTTTAAGTGTCTCCTCTTTAAAACTTTCAATAGTTCTTACAGTTTTCACATTTTAATCAACTTGGATGTTTAGAGTTGAAATTCAAATGCCATACCTCTTTCGGTTCCAATTCCACCTGCCTGAATCCATTATCCACACTTTCTCTCCTTCCAGTTCTGACTTGTCCAATATCTTCCTGTGGAACTCCTGAAGTTACCAAGTCATGCACAAATATGGACTGGTCAAAGCATGGGGTGCCTACATTCTATGCTGCGTCAAGTTTTGGTCATTGTTTTGGTGATCGTTTGTGTCATCAGATTTAACTCAAAATCCTTATTCTTAATTAAAAATCTCCTCATGGACTTTCCCCAGTCCACTAGACCCCATCTTACATCCTAGCCCATTCCAACATGAAGAGATTTGTAAATTAAAGCAAATATTTTGTCAAGATCTTCTACTCTATGTCTAACTCCATCTTATATCTAACTTGCCATCTTGCCCAATCTGGCCTCATTCTCCTGAAATTGGTGAGCAGGTTGTACCAAATCACTAGATAAAAATCAAAGAGAAGGTAAGAATCACCTTTTCATTCTCAAAGAATGCTGGCCTTGACATCATTTCCCACATCTTGATGAAAGTAAATGTACTGCCACTAAATGTGGAGGTGAGGTGAATGGAACCAGAATGGAGACCTAATAGCAGGAGTTTCTACATCTCTGATCTTTCAGTCAACATGTAATGGTTAACAAGAATGTAAGGCTCTTCAACTCCTCTTGTACTGTTACCAAGATTACGCAGACATCTGTTGGTCCCACTTGAGAGACTATGGTCTGAGATTATGGTCTGGATTCTCAGTGATTATGTTAACAGGTGATGAATTTGACTCCTCCAATCCATTAAAGGACCAGTTCTGGTTTGGGCATAGATCACAGCATAATAGAAGGTAACTAGCTTTATAGAAAGATCAATAGATCTATGCAATTCTATTGATAACTAGAGTTGGAGAGGAATTTTCCAGGGTATTTTTCCATTACCGACCCAGGTTGTTCTCCTCACAAAAAAAGATACTTGGCCGAGGAGGCGACTAAAGAGTAAAGTGGCTTCTCTCAATCTTGCAGATACCAACAGTTTGAGGCAGCCTTGATGAACCAAATCCTTCCCTGCCCCACGATTTTGCAAACTGATATTCAGCAATTACTGATGCATGGACTTTCTTTATACTGTGAACAAATTGGGACTGTACAATCATTGTGGACTCGCGTGGAAACAATAGGTACAATTGACAATCAATATTGTTTTCAAGAATTTTATTAAAAATACATTGGGCACAGTGAATATGTTAGGAGCTTAAAATATGTATAACACAAACAAAATCTTTGTATCCACAGCTCAATGTATGAAGACGATTATGTTGAACAAGTGTTTAAGTCAAACACAGTGATATCATCATACAATATGACCCACAAACGTGATTGCTGACACTTCTGGCTATGAATATATCTCCTCTTTCAGTTCCTATTCAGAGTGATGGTTTATTTAGGTGATAAAATGATCACACAAAATGGTCTTGCATTTGTATTGCACCTCAGAATACCACACAGCACTTTGCAAGTGTTGCAGTGTAGGAAACATGGCAGTTAATCCACACACAGCAAACTCCCACAAAGAGTTATGTGGTAATGGCCAGATTTCTTGTGTTTATTTAGTGTCGCTGGTTGTGCTGTTTTATATTTATCTGAGAGACCAGGTGAGACATCAGATGAACACCTCATCTGGAAGGCAGCACCCTCCCATCAGTGCAGCTCTCCCTCATTACTGCATTGGAGTGTCATCTTTAGAATTTTACAGTCTCCAGTCTTCAGCCAACAACCTCCTGATTCAGAGACGACACTGATACCCATTGAGCCAAGTGAAAATAGCTGTGCTTCAAAGGGCTCTTTCCCATCCCTTTCCTTCTACTTCCCCTTTCCAAACGCAGACTCAAATATGCGGGTGAACCCTCTACAGACCACCATGGGGATATTTTTGAGCTGTGAAGTAATTGGTGTGTTGTAGCTAGGTTACTGGGTGAGGAATCCAGTAACCCAGTTCTGAGGAAGGGTCACTGGACCCGAAGCGTTAACTCTGATTTCTCTGCACACATGCTGCCAGACCTGCTGAGCATTTCCAGTGATTTCTGTTTTTGTTTCTGATTTACATCATCCGCAGTTCTTTCGGTTTTTAACCCAGATTAATGATCTGGTAAGACCTGAGTTCAAACCCCACCAAAGTAGTTGGGGGCATGTACATCCAATAAATAAATCTGGAGTAAGAAGCTACTATCCATAAACATGACTGTGTAACTACCAGATTGGTATAAAAGTCCATTTAATTCACTAATGTCCTTCAGGGAAAGATAGCTGCTGTTCTTACCCAGTCTGACCTATATGCAATGCCAAACCCACAGTGGTGTGGTTGAATCTTGGCTTAGCAGAGCATGCCAGTAAGGACAAGTAGTGGTGTGGTGGCAATATCACTAGCCAATTCATTAGTATAGGCTAATGCTTTGAGAGTGTAGGTTCAAATCCCAGCATGGCAGAAGGTGGTGTGTAAATTAATAAATGTGGAGTTATAGAAGCAAATACTGATCATGATGATTTTCTGCTGTAGGAACCCATCTAGGTGATCAATGTCCTTGATAGGTGGAAAGTTTCTTCCCTTAGCCAGTGTGCCCAATATGTAGCTAGTGATCCACAAGCAGTGTGGCTGATGTTTTTTGTTTAATTCGTTGATGGGGGCACTGCTGGCTAGGCCTGGCATATATTGCCTGTCCCTAAGTGTCCACAGGGCTGTTAAGAGTCAACCGCATCGATTCTAAAATGGCCAAAGAAGGGCACTCAATTCAGGGGTAATTAGGGATGGACAACCAATGTTGGAATGGGCCAGTCACCCCACATGCCATAACAGAATAAAAGGAAACAAAATGTGAAAGAGTTGTGTGGGGGCGGTGCGGTGCGAAAGAAGCTGCCACTTGTCAGCAATGCTCGCATCTTGTGAATGAACAGAAAGATTTCGAAAATGGTTTTGCTTCCCCAAAACCTTTGGCCTCCAGGCCACTTGTCTGTTAACAACAACCAGAGGGCCTCAAATTTGGCCAGGACCACAGTCTCTAGGCACATTCCATGTACATTGTGTTTTCCAACTCACAGTGCCAGAAAACTTGGACAGATTTCTCCATTGCATCTGCAGCATCCTTTAAAATTCCTCTATTCAGACCACCAACAGTAATTTCTAGGAGGACGCTTTTAAAACAAATTTTTTTTGAGGTGGTTGTACTGCAGAGAGAGGAATCAGATTTTCTTTTTAAAAAATGACAGCCAGTCACACTGCTTTAAATGTGGAGTTGACATCAGATGAGCGGAGAAAATTAAATCTTACTAAACTGGAAAATAGTGCGATGTCTGAGGAAATCATGTGGGTTGGCAGGTACACAGACATTGTTTTGGTAATGGAGAGCCTTAAAACAGGATAACAATTAAAATCCAGGAATGTTTCACAGAAAAGAAGAGGAAATGAAATCTCGCTCATGGGACTGTTTCCTTGCTCTTTCAAATCATTGTAGTCATGCAACTAAAATGTTTCACTATAACAACAACTTGAATTGTTATGGCACCTCAAACATTGCAACCCCCCCATGCACCTCCATGGCGCTCCACAGCTTTGTCAGCAAATAAACTCTGATACCCAAGCTGCAAAAAGAAATATTTGGACTGATGAACAAAAGCTAGGTTCGAAGAGGTAGGGTTGTAAGAAATGGGAAAGAGATGAGGAGACAGGTGGAGAGGTTTAGGGTTAGGAATTCTGAGCTCAGGTCCTATGCAATTGAAGACCCACCATGGGTGGACTGATGGAAGATGGGAATAGGCAAAATACTGGACCTGTAGATCATAGAAAATCAGGTTATTGGGTGGGTGGACGGTGTGTTTTGCAGGGCTGGAGGAAGTGACTGAGATAGGGAAAGCTGAGCCTACTGAGGTGATTTGAAGATGAGGATGAAACCACCAATTACTTACATTGACGGATTAGAGTGTTGGCAGGCATGTTCTAAATGAATGGTCTGTATTTACAGTCATTCCTCCGTATCTGCAAACTCACGAATCGCGAAATCGTGCCAAAAAAACAGTAATCAATCATTCAAGATCCGCAAGCAAAACTCGTCTATCAGTGAGCACTTTCACTTATGCGATAATCTCACCCTCCAACCTGTTCCAGTACACAGCTCTTACCCCCCCCATCTCTCCATGAACAAAGGTGTAGATGCTTGGGTGGATGAACAGGTTGAGGACATCTATCAGATGGAGGTAGAGGAGGAGTGCGCATCATTGGGTTGACTGGCTGGGAGGGAGTCACGTCTGCACCATTCTCCTCCCTCCCACACCCAGCAGCTAGCTATATCCTTCCCTATCAATGACTGGCCCTGTTATTTTAGTAAGTTGCAATACACTACAACTGTTTTTAACATTTTATTCTATTAACTTTGATTTCAGATGTTTTGGCGCTTATTATTTTAACCCAAAAAAAGCCCAAAAATAATTGGTGAAAGGTCATAATCTCAAATTCTGGGAACCTAACCCTATTGTTACCATAAATTATTAAGCTCTGCACTTGCGAATTCACAGAGTTTTCAGGAACGGAACCCTCACAGATATGGAGGAATGACTGTATAGTCAAAGTGTTTAGCGATGACTCACAGATTATAGTATTCTGTGACCATCCACATTCTTAGGCTTATTTTTCTGAAACATTTTTTTTCCTCACTTAATATCTGTTCCCTCTTCCCTGACCTCCAATTCTCTTACTTAGAAAGCAACACATCACTTGTTCCCATTGGGTTCCCATTAATACACAATCATCCTCTTTTATAACAAGTTCAGCAGTTCAGACTTACAGCTCTTTGGACCCTTTTGGGTAGATTCCTGAGGGGCTTGTTCTTGCTTGCTTCAATGTCTAAATGCTGTCAGTCTCTGGTACTTTGTGGTTAATATGTGATCATTGACAACCAAAGCTGTTTAGAATGAAACACTTTTTGCAGTGTTGTATTATGTCACAAGCTGTCTTGGTTAAGTGAGGTGAGCGATAAACATTGATCAGGCCACAGAAGGATTTCCCTTGCTCATCCTCAAATTTTTTTTACATCCTCTCAGTAGAGTGTAGACAATGACTCATTCAAAAGACAGTACCCCAACATCCCCTCAGTGCAGTCAACTCAGCTTTTGTGGCCAAATCTGTGGTCTGATTCTGGCTCAGCTGAGAACGAGACCCACTAAGCCATGATTGCCAGCCAGGTGAGGCAGCAGATAGGTGAGCTTTATAAAGCATCTTTCAGTCAATTAAGTACTTTTGAAGGGTAATCAATGTGGTGTTGCTTTTATTCATTCATGGAATGTGGGCATTGCTAGCTGGAGCAGCATTTATTGCCCATCCCTGAATGCTTAGAGGACAGTTAAGAATCGTTTTGGGTCTGGAGTCTCACATAGGCCAGATCAAACATAAGGCAGCAGATTTCCTTCCGTTAAAGGATATGAGCGAACCAGATGGGCTTTTAAAATAATGAATATTTGGTCACCATTAGATTAGATTTATTCTCAATTTTTATCGAATTTAAATTTTACCATTTTCCATGGCAGGTTCAAACCCCTGTCCCCAGAACATTAGAGCTGGGGTCCTGGTGACATTACCACTTACACCACTGCTTCACCAACAGAAAATGTGCCATTTTCTGCACAGTAAGCTGCCACAAACAACAACAAAATTAATGAGCAGAATGCATATGGCTAGAAAGTTTTTTTCCCCTTCTGGCTGACAGCCCAACAAGAAAACTATCTTAAAACAGATTTACTCGAGTCAATTTTAGCTGACATGATCTGTCCTTCAGAATCAATGTTCACAGATTGTCCTTGTTCTTCTTATTAAATAACGTAACCCACTCACTATGTGTAATAAATTATGTGCAGTTAAACTAATGCCTGTAAAAAGCCCAATGTATATTTTTGCACTATTAGGAGGCCAAAACATTAATAATCCTCAGAGGATATCAGCCTCTGCTCACTTCCTGCTTCCACTTTCAGTTCCAATGATAACCTCTCAGTTAGTTTCACCGAGTCTGCCTATATGTTGCAGTCTGACGGAGATACCTTGCGTTTGGCAAATAGGACGATATTAAGTAGGCTTCCACTCTGAAAACATACACACACTCTGTCCAGCCAACATATCCACATCACTTCCCGGGGGGGGACACTCCTGTAAGTAGGATGCCAGAGGGGTTCCAGTGGCTCATTGCACCAATCCCAATCCTTATTTCATGTCAAATAGATATATTACACATGTTGAGAAATTTCCTCCAGTTAAGATGCCAAACAAAACTGGGTACCTGTGAATAAAACACAGGGAAAATTCATGAGCTGAGGGTCGATGGTTTATTATTTTTGTCTCTGGTTCAGTGTTTACCATCCAAATGAAACATACCGGTTTAAACCATATCATCTACAGCCTTCAGCGTTAAGGTCTTTGAAGATGAATCAAACATCTACCACATGTAACATTATTTTGACAGTCAGCAGTCCAAACAAAATGAAGTAGCAGAACGGCAGTGAACAGGCTGTTGTGATTCTACAAGCGCAGAGAAAAAATGATGCTTTAATAACTCTCTTCATAGAAACACACTAATGGTTACAGAGTACATTCATAGCACTGGGTCAAATGTAACAACCTTAACAACAGCTTGCATTTGTAGTGCACCTTGAACACATTAAAATGGGATAAAATGCTTCATAGGAGTGGATTGAAAGTCTGAAACTGAGACCTGATCCTGGTAAGGGGGTTATATCAGGGCCCAATATGCAGGGTCTTGGTCTCTAGGGAACCTACAGCGTTTGGGTCAATGGTAGGGCCACTGTGCTCAAGCTGGGGGCCAGGGCTGGGATTAAAAGTTCAGTGACATTATCACGTTGCCACTGTGTCCCCCAGCTGAGGTTAGACCTCTATATTAAGAACATGAAACATAACTTCCTCACTTTAATATCCTTACACCTCTATTGATGGCTTCTGCTACAGCTCTCCTAAGCCTGTCATTTCTCCTTTAAAGATTTGTGCACACACCCACAGGTTGCTGTATTCCCTGTTAAATAATTTATATTGGTCTCCTTTACACTTCCTACCAAAATATATCACTTTAAGTCTACTGTGTGCTAACTTTCACCTGAAACCTGTGCTTTTAGTCAGTCTGTCTGCACCCCCCTAGTCTTTCACTTTCTATTGTTTTATGATTTCCAGGTTTAGCTCCTTCTCTCTAATTAAGTAGGGGTGTAACATTTGCAACCCTTCACCCTTAGATCTTGTACTATATGAACCATTGCCCTTTTCAAGGCTGCCCATTGCTCCTTGGTGATTTGTCCATTTCACAGAATCACTACAGTGTAGAAACAGGCCATTCAGCCCATCGATTCCACACAAATCCTCCAAAGAGTATCCCACCCAGATCTACGCCCCCTTAACCTATCCCTGCATTTCCTGTGGCTAGTCCATCTAGCCTGCACCTCCCTGGACACTACAGGCAATTTACCATGGCCAATCCACCTAACCTGCATATAGAGTCATACAGCATGGAAACAGACCCTTCGGTCCCAACCAATCCATGCTGAACATAATTCCAAAGTAAATTAGTCCCACCTGCCTGCTCCTGACCCATATCCCTCCAAACCTTTCCTATTAATGTATTTATCCAAATGCTTTTTAAACATTGTAATTGTACCTGCATCAACCAGTTCCTCAGGAAGTTCATTCCACATGTGAACCACCCTCTGTGTAAAATATTTGCCCCTCATGTCTTTTATATCTCTCTCCTCTCACCTTAAAAATGTGTCCCCTAGTCTTGAAATCCCCCATCCTAGGGAAAAGACAACTACCATTAACTCTATCTATGCCTCTCATTATTTTATAAACTTCTCTCATGTTGCCTCTCAACGTCCTATGCTCCAGTCAAAAAAGTTCCAGCCTAACCAGCTTTTCTTTATAACTCAAACCTTCCATAGAACATAGAACATAGAACAGTACAGCACAGTACAGGCCCTTCAGCCCACGATGTTGTGCTGAACTTTTACCTGAAACCTAAGGTCTATCTAACTTCCACCGCTATCTTATACTGTCATCCATATGCCTATCTAATAGCTGCTTAAATGCCCCTAATGAGGCCGCCTCCACTACCCTCTCCGACAATGCATTCCACACCCCTACCACTCTCTGAGTAAAGAACCTACCTCTGACGTCTCCCCAATATCTACCTCCTTTCACTTTAAAACTATGTCCCCTCGTAAAAGCTACCTCCACCCTAGGAAAAAGTCTCTGGCTGTCTACTCTATCTATACCTCTGATCATTTTGTACACCTCTATCAAGTCACCTCTCATCCTTCGTCGTTCTAAAGAGAAAAGCCCTAGCTCTCTCAACCTTTCCTCGTAAGACCTTCCCTCCATTCCAGGCAACATCCTGGTAAATCTCCTCTGCACCTTTTCCAACGCTTCCACATCTTTCCTGTAATGAGGTGACCAGAACTGGACACAATACTCCAGATGTGGCCGAACCAGGGTTTTGTAAAGCTGGAGCATAACTTCACGGCTCTTGAACTCAATCCCTCTATTACTGAAAGCTAACACACCATACGCCTTCTTAACAACTCTATCCAACTGGGTGGCAGCTTTCAGGGAACTGTGAACTTGAACCCCAAGATCCCTCTGCTCCTCCACACTGCCAAGAATCTTTCCGTTAACCCTGTATTCTGCTTTCAAGTTTGTCCTTCCAAAATGAATCACCTCACACTTTTCAGGGTTAAACCCCATCTGCCACTTCTCAGCCCAGCTCTGCATTCTATCAATGTCCCTTTGTAACCTAGAACAGCCCTCCGCACTATCCACAACGTGACCCACCTTCGTATCGTCCGCGAACTTGCTAATCCACCCTTCCACTCCTTCATCCAAATCATTTACAAAAATCACAAAAAGAAGCGGACCCAGAACAGATCCTTGTGGTATACCACTCGTAACTGAGCACCATGTCGAATATTATCAGTCCACTACCACCCTTTGTCTTCTAACCTTCCTTACCTGGCAACATCCTGGCAAATCTCTTCTGAACCCTCTCCAGCTTGATAATATCTTTGGAATGTGGGGGGAAACTGGAGGAAATCCACGCAGACATGGGAAAAATGTGCAAACTCCACATAGACAGTCACCTGAGGGTGGAATCAAACTCGGGTTGCTGGCACTGTGAGGCAGCAGTGCTAACCATGGAGCCACTGTGCCACCCACCCCCACTTATTTTTTATTCCCATTCACTTGAGCCAGGTTTCTTTGTAACTAATTCCTCCTCAAGATAAAAATACATTTACACTCGATTCATCCTTGTACATTGGCGGCATGGTGGCACAGTGGTGCCTCACAGCGCCAGGGACCCGGGTTCGATTCCAGCCTCGGGCCACTGTCTGTGTGGAGTTTGCACATTCTCCCCATGTCTGCGTGGGTTTCCTCTGGGTGCTCTGGTTTCCTCCCACAGTCCAAAGATATGCAGGTTAGGTGGACTGGCCATGCTAAATTGCCTGTAGCGTTCAGGGATGTGTAGATTAGGTGGATTATACGGGAATGGGTCTGGGTGGGATGCTCTGAGGTTCAGTGTGGACTTGTTGGGCCGAAGGGCCTGTTTCCACACTGTAGGGATTCTATGATTCTATTCTATATAACTGTACTAATTATGTTTATGGTCACTATTCCCCAAATGCTCCTCTGTTGAAATATATGCCACTCACTCCATTTTATTCCTTAGAACTAAACCTCGGAATTCTTCCTCTCTCTCTGAGTTGCAAACAAACTGATTAATAGACTTCTTTTGTAGACACTTCAATAATTCCTCCACTATATTACCCTTTATACTGTTACTACTGTAATCTGTATTATATTAATTGAAATGTCCCACTATCACCGCCCTATGGTTCTGGCATCGTTTTATAATTTGCCTGCAACTTTGATAATTTATCCTATAAGTCTAGTCATGGCAGCTCTGCTATTCTTCCATAATTCTAAACAAATAAATTTTGTTTTGAACCCCTTATTCCTATCCAGTATTTATCTCTTCTAATTACTACTGCCATGCCCACCTCCTCTTTTTCCTTTCCTTTGTTTTCCTGATAGCTTGCAGCCAGGAATATTGTTCACAAACCCCTCCCTTCTTTTAGTCAAACCTCTCTTCTTGTCACTATATCACTATGTTACGAGCACAGACCATATGACACAGGAGCAGAATAAGGCCATTTGGGCCATTGAATCTGTTCTACTATGAAATAACTTCACAAAGACCTGTATCCTGTCAGCAAGTCGCCCTTTATTTACACATGGAGAGTCCTTGACACTGATCCAGCTCCCTCAGAGCCAGCTCTCAGAGTGAACAGAATCTCTAACCCTTCTGTTCATATCCGTTAGCCAGGGCTCCCTGATTGGACCAGATTAACAGCCCAAATCAGGGAACTCATATTCTATGAGGTCCACTTGGCTGACCTCGTTACAATCACTACATGCCGTTCAATGAGATCATGGCTGATCTGATAATCCCCAACTACACTTTCTTGTTTTTGTCTCAGTCTTGAATATACTTAACACCCAGCCCCAATAGCTCTCTGAAAGAAGAAATTCCTCCTCATCTCTGTCTTAAAAGGGCAAGCCCCTTATTCTGAGATTATGGCCTCTGGTCCTAGACTCTCCCAGACGGGGAAAGCAACTTAGAATCCGTACAGTGTGGGAGCAGGCGATTCAGCCCACACCAACCCTCCAAAGAGCATCCCACCCAGACCTACCCCATCCCTGTAACCCTGCATTTACCATGGCTAATCCGCCTTGTCTACACACCCCTGGACACTATAGCATGCAGGATGAAACCAATGCAGACACAGGAAGAACGTGCAAACTCCACATAGACAGCTTCCTGAGGGTGGAATCAAACCCGGGTCCCTGAAGTTGCAAGGCAGCAGTGCTAACCACTGAGCCACCTCTCTGCATCTGCCCTGTGAAGTCCCCTAAGAATCTTGTGAGTTTCAATAAAGTCACCTCTCATTCTTCTACATTCCAACAGGTACAGGCCCAACCTACTCAACCTCTCCTCATAAAACAGTCGCTTCATACCCGCAATCGACCTAGTGAACCTTCTCTGGACTTCACAGGGCAGCAGCTGCATTGGATGAACTAAATAAAGTACCTAGAAACTAGATAAGGTGTTCAAATCAGGTCGTAATGAATGGTGGGGTAGGTTCGACTTGCTGAATAGTCTACTGGTGTTCCTACTTTCCGATTGCTTGAATTAGACATAGTGAGAGATGGCTTATATGAATATTTGGACTGGTTGACCTGAATGGTTTGTTTCTGAACTGTGCCTTTTGTGCAATTACATCCAATTGATAACTTAAGAGTGACCTACCCCATTATCAGTTGGTGACCTTATGTGAGAGATTCTTGATTTTCAAGGATGAATTGGCCATCTTGTTCATTCTCTTCCCTGTGCAACAGCAAATGGAGGATTAATTATCGTGATAATGCAGGTGTTTTTGAAAAACATAAAATTTTCAAAAGATTGTAGATTGCAAATGCTCTCAGACTGATTTATTTTTTGATTGAATTCAGTAATGATTCAGTAACAATTTAGTGCAGTTGCACATTAAAGCTTCAGTTGTAGGTGAAGAGGCAGCAGAGCAAGAAGTGAGGGAATGGAAAGGATAAGTATCACAGTTCTGGTCCTCCTGGATAATGGTTAGATTTAGGGGCTGGTTTAGCTCAGTTGGCTGAATGGTTGACTTGCAAAGCAGTGTGAATGCTAACAGAGATAGTAGGAACTGCAGATGCTGGAGAATCCGAGAAAACAAGGTGCAGGGCTGGATGAACACAGCAGGCCAAGCATGATGCTTCTTGGCCTGCTGTGTTCATCGAGCCCTGCACCTTGTTGTCCTGAATGCTAACAGCATGGTTTCAATTCCTCCACCAGCTGAGATTACTGTGAAGGTCTCTCCTTCTCAACCTCTTCCCCTGCTGATGGCCCTCAAGTTAAGTCACCACCAGTTGTTTGTCTAATGACAGTGCAGCCCCTATGACAATGATGACTTGTGACACAGAATAAGTGTTCCCTTGCTGCCCATCTATAGGATAGCGCAGAAAGACAGCATGGAGCTCATGTGGTCCCTTTCAAAGAGTAATCTTCTGAATGCTAAATCACTACAACTTTTTCTTTTTCAGATATTTATCCAATTTATCCAAGGTGAATTCTGAATTGATAAGCACCACCCTATCAGGCAGCGCATTACAAATCCTGGCCACTCGATGGGTGAGAAAAGGTTCTTTGTCACACCATTCCTGGTACTTTTGCCAATCATCTTAAATCTATGTTCCTGGGCTGAGGGGATTGTGAGGTACTGTCGAAGAAGGCCTGCAGATTGCTTCAGTGAAACTTGTATGTGCAACAGGTTCACAATATGTGAACGAGACTGAGGGCTGTACCCCATTGACTGGCAGCACACCTCCTCGTAATTATTTACAAAACTTCTGGACAAAATATTATGTGCATCTCATCAATTCCTTTGATCGATGGTTACATTAATGGTAAAGAATATAAGCATTCTTGAAGGAAATTTCTCATCATTATGGGCCAAAGCCAGGCAAATGGAATTAGGCCAGAGATCAGCCATGATCTCACTGACTAGTGGAACAGGCTCATAGGTTTGAATGGCCTACTCCTATTTGTACACTTAATGTTCAAAGTGTTCCTAGCAAACTCCTTCTCATGCCTTTTAATGTCGGCATAAAGCCTGTACATGGAAATAGCAAGTCTCAGAATAAGGGGCAGGCCATTTACGGCTAAGCTGAGGAGGAATTTCTTTACTCTGAAGATGGTGAATTCTGAATCCCAGAGAGCTGTGGAAGCTCCAATATTGAGTATGTTTAAGACTGAGATCAATTGATTTCTGCATATGAAAATCATCAAGGGATATGGGATAGTGCAGGAAAGTGGTGTTGAAGTAGAAAATCAGCCATGATCTTATTGAATGGTGCAGCTATCATGAAGGGCTGAATGGCCTCTTCTTGTTCCTATGAAGTACACCTCTCAATATCTGACTCTCACCGTAGCTCCATTATCAGAATTGCTGCAGCGAAGTCAAGAAAAATTTCAGTGACATAAAGAAATACAATCAATTCAAAATCAAAATTATAACATTAGTGCACTGACAGAAAGGGTTTTATCACCAACTGCACTGGGCTTTAACGTCAGAACTGTGGTACACTATAAGCTCCACCTATAGGAAATAAAGGCTTGATCCTGAGCCAGTGTCCCAACTGGTTCTGCTTCTGTGTCTGTTACCAATACTATAGAGAAGCTATAATGTGGACTCACTATGAAGTTGAGTCTGCTATTTGTGTGGGTTTTGTTTTTGGTTGAATATGTTGATGAGACAATGGTAGGAAAAGAGTTTCCCAGCCAGCAGTAACTTGCTGTGTAATTTTGTAAATTTTTTCCACAGTCAATTATTGGGATTCTATGTTCTACATTAAACCTCCTCCCAACTCCCAATTTCTTCACTCAACTTCACTGCTTAAAATCTGATGCCCTAATAAGCGCTCAATTTACAATTTCAACATGCACATTTAAAAGCATCCAAGAGACATTAGAAGCTTTTATTAATAGCAAACAGTGAATGCTCTAAAACGGTGTTAACTGTTGGGATCCTAACAAGACCTGAAGTAAACTCAAGGCCATTAACATCCAAAATTGCATTTACGATGTCAAACCTTTTACATTCCTGTTCTATGTCCATCTGGTAACTTTTAATCCTTCTGTTTCTTTCGCAGTTCTGTGGAAACAGGTATTCATTGAAGGTTAATATACAATAGACGGATTGCATTTTCAATTACAAGCAATTTTGACAGCAAGCTCACCTTCTGCACTCTGATAACCAGATATGTGAGAAATGTAGTAATGATCACAATGCAAACAATGCTGATTCCAATCGCAGGTAAATAGTTGACTGATGTGACACAGTGAGCACATTCTCCTTTCATCGTATTTGGATCTCCTGTTTCCGGAGTTGTCTCTTCTGTTGACAAAAAATAGCACTTCTTTGTTAATCTGCCATTGTAAATTTGCCTGCATCAAACATGTCACCTTTATTAGGAAATACAATGGCTAATGCCATGTTCAATGTACAAACATTTGAGAAGCAATACCTATCAAAAGAGGTTAAACAGATTGGCGGCCTTTTCTCCCTAAGGAAAAGCTGAGGAGTTGACCTGATAGAGATCTTTACGATCATGAAAGGATTTTTATAAAGTAGACATGGAGAAGATGGTTCCACTTGTGGGAGAGACCATATCTAGGGATCAATAACATAAGGTAGTCACCAACAAATCCAGTAGGGAGTTCAGGAGGACTTTCCTTTCCTGGAGAATGCTGAGAATGTAGAACTCACAACCATAGGGACATGGGCAGTGAACAGTATTGATGCGTTTAAGTGAAACTGAGATAAACATGTGAGGGAGAAAGGAACAGAAAGATAGCTTGATGAGGCTGGATGAAGAAAGGTGAGAGGAGGTTGTTAGGGAGCATGAGCACCAGCATGGGTTTGTTGGGCCAAAACGCCTGTTTTTGCATTGTAAATAGTTTGTATAACTTTGTACCACTTTACAAAAGCAATGATCTGTTGCTGACTCATATCCCAAGTACTATTTTAATTATCAGCTGCTTCACAAATCTATGTTAAAAATCCGCGTACATTTCCTGTCTACAAACCTTACATCCTGCTATCCACTGTTGCTCAATGGGCGGGATTCATGTTGGTCTATGTCCCATTCTAGAAGTCTGAATGTAAACTTTAGGCTGACACAGTCAATGCAACAATGAGGGAGTGCTGCACAGTCAGAACTACCTTCTTTTGGATGAACTGTGAAGCAGGTGCCTTACCTTCCCTCTCGGGTGATGTGAAAGATCTACTTGAAAGAGAGCAGGGAGTTCTCCATGGTTCCTTGGCTAATATATGTCCCTAAGTCAACACTATACAAATGAAAAAAATACTGGTTATGTAACCACTATCTCATTCTTGCTTGTAGGAGCTTGCTGTATACAGATTGGATATTGCACTTCCCAAATTACATCTAAGTTATGTTTCAAATGCACGTCATTGCCTATAAAGCATTTTGCTACTTTCTCAGAGGAGCTACATGCAATGAAGCTACTGTCTTTCTTGCAATTTTTTGTGCATTTTTCTGTCAACATTCATGATTGTAAATTGCAACATGCAATGTGACAGGATTCATTAATGATCTCAGAGTTAAGGCACCTCCAGGCATCAGTGACCACAACATGATTGAATTTTACATCCACTTTGAAAGGGAGAAGATTGGATCTAAGACTTGCATTTTAAACCTAAATGAGGGCCACTACTTGGGCATGAAAGCTGAGTTAGTGAAGGTGAACTGGCATACTGGGCTAGGGGATGGATCAGTAGAGATATTTCAGGGGCTACTTCCAAATGCTCAGAATAAATATATTCCTACAATAAAGAAACGGTCTAAAGGAAATACCACCATCTGTAGTTCTCTAAAGAAGTTTGTGAAAGCATCAAACTAAAGGAAAAAGCATAGAACTGCACAAAAATTGTGGCAATTCAGATAACTGGTCAAAACAAAGATGGCAGAGAATGACTAAAAGATTAATCAGGATGAAGAAATTAAAGCATGAGAGAAAGCCAGCTGGGAATGTGAAAACGGATAGAAACAGTTTTCCCAAGGTATTCAAAAAGGAGAAGAGTAAGTAAAGTATGTATTTTTAAACAAAAAGTCATTCACAGAATGATGCCATTATTGGTTAGGGCAGCATTGATTGTCCGTGTCTAATTTCCCTGCAGGTAGTTAAGAGTGGTCCTCCAGAGATTGAGAATGGGGAGCTAATAGTACATAATAAGGAAACAGTGTATTAAACGAACAAGTATTTTGCTCTTGTCTTCACCATTCTAGTAATAAGCTGTAAATCAGGAGGTAGAAGGGAATGAGAAACTGCCTCAGAAAGTGGTGGAGGCAGGGTCACTAAATATTTTTAAGACAGCGGTGGATAGGTCCTTGCGAGGGAGAGGAAACAAGGGTTATTGGAGATAGATTGGAATGTGGAATTTGAAATGTAAACAGACTGGTCGTGATCTTATTGAATGGCAGAAGAGACTCAAGTAGCCAAATGGTCTACATTTGCTCCTATTTTGTACGGTTTTGATTCAATATTTCTGTGAATTGTTAGCAAGGTTGTAAGCTCTGGCCATTAGATGGCTCTGTGAAGCAGGGTTCTATGCTCACAACTCTTTCGCCATCTTCTAACTCCGTGGTCTCCAACACATAGGTCATGATCGATTGGTTGATCATAGTCTCTGGTGCCTGGAATTGTCACTTTTCTTAAACCAAGGAGTGAATTGTGCAGTGAGTTGTCAGGCAATCGGTGTTTGCTCAACTTACAGGTTCCTTACAGATAGAACACCAGAACTGTGAACTGTGGGGAAAGAACAGACACGTAGCACATATGATCAGTGCTGTGAATGCATTCAAATTGAAACTGGGGTCTGCAGTCCTCCTAATTTAAAAATAAAATGCTGCACCCCTTTTCTGAGAAAATATTAAAAAAAAACTAAAGGCAAATGGTTCTATCTAGAAATCCAGAGCACGCTTGAGGGAGCTAGCAGAATTCAGCAGGTGATTTCAGGAATTAGTTGTGATGGAACAAATCATAGAGTTTGTCTCAAATCCATTTCTTCAAGTAGACACTGGGGTTTAGCTACCAAGGGTGACATGGTGGCTCAGTGGTTAGCACTGCTACCTCAAAGTGCCAGGGACCTGGGTTTGATTCCGCAGAGTTTGCATATTCTCCCCCAGTCTGCGTGGGTTTCCTCTGAGTGCTCCGGTTTCCCCCCACAGTCCAAAGATGTGTACTCTAGGTAGAGTGGTCATGCTAAATTGCCTGTAATGTTCAGGGATGTGTAGATTAGGTGCGTTATATGGGGATAGGTCTGGGTGGATTGCTCTGAGGGTTGGTGTGGACTTGTTGGGTCGAAGGGCCTATTCCCACACTGTAGGGATTGTATGATCTATGAAGTTCCATCAGATGTCTGATTTACAAAGCAGTGGAGTTGATATGGAGAGAGATAGTAGGAACTGCAGATGCTGGAGAATCTGAGATAACAAGGTGTAGAGCTGGATGAACACAGCAGGCCAAGCAGCATCATAGGAGCAGGAAGGCTGACGTTTCGGGCCTAGACCCTTCA